CCTCATCCCCCTTGACCTCACGCTCTTCCCCTCCACGGAGGCGGAAGGAACACGGGCCTTGCTATTTCCAGCACAGGGTGTGGGAGCGACCGTGACTCGCCCCTGGTCCTTGGTTTCCATGCCTCCCTGTTGTTAACCTCTTCTTTGGCTCCAAAGGGTCACCTGCTTCTATGACTGTTCTCAGTATCTGTGAGCTGCACTTGTCCATATACATGAATATACACGGATATTTTATTCTTTTGTGTTTTTAGTTTTATACTTGCCATTGAGCACTGTATGGTTTATATTCAGCTCACGTTTCCCCCTCACCCTGTGTTCCCAGCATCCTTCTTATTCTATGTGTTCATTTCCCGTTTTAACATCGTCCAACGATGTCTCCGTTTATTTGCGCAGTCTTCGGTGGGAAGGTATTTTGTCTCTTCTGTTTCCTTTTCCCTGATGACCAATACAGCAGCGACCAACCTGTGTTCCCTCTAAGACATGTGTCTAGAAGTGGTCTCTCCAGCAGCAAAGTACACGTTTTTTCTCCACTAAATTCACACTCAGGATCACCTCACTTCTGGAGGCCCCACTGCCTCTCTCTGCTTTTTGCCACCAGCTTATGCTGCTCAACCCCAGAGGCGAAAGGCTTCCCTGGTAGGACACCCTGCCAGGAACCCTGCGAGGAACACAGGCGATTAGCGGCTGGAGAGCACACCAAAAACCCAAACCCACTGCTATCGAGTCCTGGACAGGAGGTGAGTGTGCGGCCAGGAAGAGACACCTCTCACTGGGCTTCCAAGGCTTTAAATCTTTACGGAAGCAGATTGCCTCATCTTCCTCCCATGGAGCGGCTGGTGGGTTCCAACCACTGACCGTTTGGTTAGCAGCCCGATGTCTTAACCACAGCATCACTAGACGTCCTTTGGGTGACCACAGGGGTGGCAAATTGTGAGGGCAGATGGTCATGGGTGCCAAGTCTTGTCTCCTGTGTCCCAGGTTCTTTACCAGGTCCCCATGGGTCTGGCCTATCTGTAGTTGTAACTTCCATGACATCATGGGGTGACCTGTTCTCTCTAGGAATCATCTTGGCTTTTGACTGTCTGCTGAACACTGCATCTTGGTGACTACTTCCTTCTTTATCCCCTGACATGGTCAGATTCTCCTTCAGCTGTGGTGCCGATGGAACACAACACCAGTGTATGAAGCCCCATCCCTTCAGCCTTCCTTGTTATGATGAGTGTGTCAAGTAGATGCTATTTTGTAAAATAACTGCACTTCCTTAGTTCTAATGACTTCCTCTATCTCTTGCAAAGACTTCCAGTCACTCTTCTTCATTTTCTGTTTCTCTACTGGATGTGTGGCAGTGTTCCATTCTGCATCATTGAGCTTTACAAGGGGTCTTGAATCTTGGAGGACGAGTTCCTCTTCCTTGTTCTTGTTTTTCATAAATTCTTGGATATTCCTTCACATGATGCATCTCATTGTAGAAGCAGTTTATTCACTTCTGTCAAAACACTGTCAAGATTACAGTCACATTGTATGTACAGATGAAGTTGAATAATTAAGGTCTTTATAAGTTTGACCCTTACCATGAACATGCTATGGACCCACACCTACCTGGACTCTTAATGTATGACAAAGGTGGCATCATATAGCAGTGGGGAAAGGACTGTTTGTCAATAAAAGGTTAATAGATGTCTGTATGGGAAAAATGAAATGAAACTTGACCCTTTCCAAACAACTACAAAAATTAGTTGCATGTGACTTGTTGATGTTAATATAAAGATTGGGCAGATAAACTAAACTGTAAGCTGGAAAATTACCTCTGTGATCTAGGAAAGGCAGTTTTTGTTTCTTTGTTCTGTGGTCCGACACTGAACAATTAATAGAGGAATGACTTACTGCATTAAACGTGAGATTGCTGTTGATCAAAAGACGCCACTGCAGAGTGAAGAAGAATGCTATGAAGCGGAGGAAGATGCTTGCACATCCCCTGATGTAATCAGTAAAGAGCTCCTATCCAGAGTATATAAGGAAGCCCTAAAAATCAATCAGAAAAACACCGAAAGCACAAACCGTAGCCGTGTCTCAGGCAGAACATCCAAATGGCCACTAGGTCAAAAAGCAGCAGCCCAACCTCCTTCACTAGGAGGGAAATGCAAAAGAAGCCTCATAAGATGCCCAGGAACTGGTTCAAGAAACACTAATAGACTCTCTGAATGTCAAGACAACGTGAAGGCACTGGAACCCTCATCCACTTGGGGAACAGAAAAAATTGCTGTAAATCCTCCTTGAAAACTGCTTGGCAGTTTTTAAAAGATAAATTTCTGCCTACCCATTACCACTCTTCTTCACGGGCCTGCCTGCTTCTGGCCCAGCCTTCTCAGGGCCTCTTTGACGTCCTTGTTCCGCAGACTGTAGATGAAGGGGTTGAGCATGGGGATGACCAGGGTGTAGAAGATGGAGACCACCTTGCCCTGCTCCATGGACTCCACGGCCCCTGGTTGAGCGTACATGACAAAGACCGTCCCATAGAACAGGGACACCGCAGTCATGTGGGAGCCGCAGGTGGAGAAGATCTTGTGTCTCCCGGTCCCCGAGTGCATCCTCAGGATGGTCACTACGATGTAGCCGTAGGAGATGAGGACCACGAGGGTGGTGGCCACAATGATCAGTCCACAGATGCCGAACATGACCAGCTCGTTGAGGGCTGTGTTGGCACAGGCGAT